TACTTATTCAACTGCATAGAAAGCAATAAAAAGGAAGTGGCTGTGAGTATGTTGTTAGAGCCATGTTATTTGGTCTCAAGTCCCAGTATTAACTTCACTTACTAGCAGTGTGGCCTTGAACGAGTTACTTAACCTGTGTTTCAATTTCCTCATCTATAAAATAATAGAATCTTACAGCGTTGCTGCTGGGCATAAAAGGAAAACTTTGAACTGGCTGATGAAAAACAAGAGGAAAAGGACAGCATTCTAAACAGAAGGGAAACCATATGCAAAGAAGAAACAAGAAAAGAAAAAGAGCTTGACTCATGAATTTTGGCCTTTCCAGACCTATATTCCCTCGATAGCTAAATACCAGCTTGAATTCCAGTTCCACAATCTGGATCTAAACTTTAACAGGTCCACAACAGAACCAATCAGCCTCTTAGTTTCCTCTCCTCCAGATGAGGGGTAGTGCCACCCGATAGTTTTAAATACTACATGGACTTTAACAGCAGGTCAAGGGTAGAACGGTCAGTGCAATGCAATCCATACTGCACAAGAAGAAAAAGAGAAAATCCCCTCTCCTCCAGCTACTGATCTTTGGATGGTTCTAATTCTATACAGTCCAAAGTTCTTACTCATAATCCAAACTCATATGGATTTATTTTTAAGATTTATTTATCTACTTATTTATTTGAAAAGCACAGTTACAGAGAGAGGGGGGAGATGCAGAGAGAGAGATATATTCCTCCCACTGGTTCATTCCTCAGATGGCCACATGGCCAGGATGGGACAGGCTGGGCCAGGCTGAAGCCAGGAGCTAAGAGTTTCATTAAGGACTCTCAAGTGAGTGCAGGGGATAAAGTGCTTGGGTCATCCTCTGTTGCTTTCCCAGGCACCATTAGCACGGAGCTGGATTGGAAGTGGAAAAGCTGAGACTTGACCCGGTGCTCATGTGGGATGCTGGTACTGGGACATAACCTGCTCAACTACAGCACTGACCCCCTTCTCATATATTTTCATTATAAACAAGTTCGCTGGTTTTCAGGGATATGAATTCTAAGATCAACAGTAAAGATTACCCAACCAACGCTGGTTCTAATCGCAGCAGCCCCACTTCCCATCCAGTTCCCTGCCTGTGGCCTGGGAATCCAGTCAAGGACGGTCTAAAGCCTTGGGACTCTGCACCCACATGGGAGACCCAGAGGAAGCTCCTGGCTCTTGGCTTCAGATTGGGTCAGCTCCTGCTCTTGTGGCTACTTGGGGAGTGAACCTTCAGATGGAAGATCATCTTCTCTGTCTCTCTTCCTCTATGTATCAGCCTTTCCAATAAAAACAAATCGTTTAAAAAAAATTACCCAACCAACCGGGTACCACACCAGACACTCTACTAGAAAATCACACACATTAACTTTTACCAGATCTTTGAAAGGTAGTCAAGAAGAGAGAGAGACAGACAGCCATCTTTCATCTGCTGGTTTATTCGCCAAATGGTCACAACAGCCAAAGCTGGGTTAAGGCCAAAGGCCAGGAGCCAAGATCTTCTGGATCTCGCATGTGGGTGGAAGGACCCAAGGAATTAGGCCATCTTCTGCTGATTTTCCAGGCTATTAGCAGGGAGCTGTACTGGAAGTAGAGCAGCAAGGATTCAAACTGGCACCCATTCAGGATGATGGTGCCAGAGGCAGAGGCTTAGTTTGCTACACCATAGTGCTAGTCCCAAGAATTTCCTTTTAAGAATGAAAATGCTGGGGCCTTCCAACTAAAAGCAAATCTTCAAAGAAAAAAAAATACTGAATTTCACTGGTTGTGATATGTAATAGAGCCCTGATATAACTCCAAACCTATCTAGACCCTGAATTAAGACAGTTACGGATGAAGTTAGCAAATGGATCATCAAGAGACTAATCATATGTGAGTCTATTTAAAATAGGCAAACTTTAGAAGTAGCGACTCAACCAATGATTAATACTGTTTTTTCCTAACATTCCTGCTAATACCTAACACTAACTTTCACTTGGTTCAATTCAGGCCCCTAATTGCCATTCACTTGCATTACTATGATGGATTTTGTACAATGGGGTCTCCCAACACCCAACCTGACCCTGTCTCAGACCAGTTAGTTACTACACTGCCCAGTGGACAGTGGACCTAGGTGTGTTTGTTGCTGTTGTTTTAAGAAGAGGCCTTTGATCTAAGGGCTAAGACATTTGCATCCAACATAGGATTACCTAGGTTTAAATCCTGGCCTCAACCCCAGTGGGTAATGTTGATGGGTCGTGCAATTAGATTCTTCCCACAAAGGAGAGAGAACTAAGTTTGACTTCTCAGGCCCTAGCTCCAGTACCACACAAACATGGATGAGCTCATGCTTCCTGGCTTCAGCACCAGCGTTTACATGTAGTTGTGGAGATAACCAGTGAATGGGGAGCCCTCTATCTGTCAAAAATTTTAAGGTCTCAAGCCTGGCGTAATGGCTCAGTAGCTAAACCCTCACTTGCAATCACTGGGATCCCATGTAGGTGTTGGTTCACATCCCAGTTGTTCCACTTCCCATCCAGGCTTGTAGCCTGGGAAAGCAGCCGAGAATGGCCCAAAGCCTTGGTGGGACCCTGCACCCATGTGGGAGTCCCAAAGGAAACTCCTGGATCCCAGCTTCAGATCAGCTCAGCTCCTGATGTTGCAGCCTTGGAGAGTGAACCATTGCACAGAAGATTTTTCTCAGGCCCGGCACAACAGCATAGTGGTTAAGGTCCTCGCCTTGAACGCTCCGGGATCCCATGTGGGTGCTGGTTCTAATCCTGGTGGCCCTGCTTTCCATCCAGCTCCCTGCCTGTGCCCTGGGAATGCAGTCAAGGACAGCCCAGGACTTTAGGACCCTGCACCCATGTGGGAGACCTGGAGGAGTCTCCTGGCTTCAGATTGGCTCAGCTCCAGCCGTTGCAGCCACTTGAGGAGTGAACCATCAGACGGAAGATCTTCCTCTCTGTGTATCCATCCGCCTTTCCAATAAAAAACAAATAAATCTTAAAAAAAAAAGATCTTCCCTCTGTGTCTCCTTTTCTTTGTATATCTTTCCTTTCCAATAAAAATAAACCTATTTTTTTTAAATGTAGGTTTTAGTGTGTTCCCGTCTATAGCAGCATTTCCCAAACTTTCACAGCCATAGAACTATTCTAAACTGATGCAGAGTGTGTGTGTGGTATGTACATACTACAGTGTAAGATTCATTTACTTGCTCATGGACACAGGTTATTTTCACCTTCTGTCTACTGTCAATAATCCCCCCAGTGTCTGTCTGTGTACAAATATCCCTACCTTCAATTCTTTTGGACACAGATCCTGCAATGGAATTGCTCCACCCTACGGCACACCTACGTTCAGTTTTCACAGGAATTACCACACTGTTCTGGACAGCAGCTGGGCCATGGTGACATCCCACGAAGAATGTACAAATGCCCCTACTTCGTCCCATGTGGGTTTTTCCTGTTAGTCTGTTTAAATAACGGCCATCCTAATGGATGTGAAGTGGTAGGTATCTCATTATTTGTCTATTTTAGTCTATTATTTGTTTGTTAGTCAATTATCTGTGAACAAAAGTCCACCTCATAGTGGTCTATATAAATATGTGGCAGAGTCACTTGAGATACAAACAGTAAATATCAGTGAAACCTAATACAGAGATACTATGATTTAAAATCAACTCCTTTTTAAAAGACATAAAGGACAAAGAATAAAGACAGAATACAACAATTTACAAACTGTTTAATTCTCTGAGGACTAATTTTCAAAATACTAATTATTTGTGTGAGTAAAAAGTATCAAAGTGAATTGCAGCTTTTTGTAAAAAAAACTATGGTAAACCCTGAAATGGAGCTTTGAAAAACACATTTCACCTGGAGAGATAGTTGTTATGGTCCTGTTTTTGAAGACAAGAAAATCTGAATGTAAACAGGTTTGGCAACTCATCCAAGGATACAAAGCAAAACCGTTGGAGAGATGTGGAAAACACTTTCTGATTTCAAAAAAAAAAAAAAAAAATCCACAATGTGATATGCAGGGAGCCAAGGGGAACACGGGCCAGCCGACACTGTTTTTAGATCCCACGCTGTGTGACAGGCGGAAGCTGGCAGCCTCCGTGGGCTCTGACCACTCACTCCTTGCCAGCCTGGGCTGGAACGGGAGGCCAGACCAGAATCAACAGGGAAACCGTTTCTCCCTCTACCCTCGGTGTGAGCCAACAGCTTCTCAAGACTCCAATTTGATTTCTTCACTGCTTTCCCTGGGGTGGCTGAATTCCAACTGTTCAAAAGTTGGGATCGTTCTATAGTTCTACATTGTCAAAATGCATGTGAAAACCACCTCGGGAAATAGAATTTCTCTTGACACCAAGTAGCACCTTCGCTTCCTCCGTAAACAATGATCTCCTTTCCTCAGATCGGATTAAAAAAGAGAGACCAAAGATACTCATTCCCGGGGACTCTAGTTTTAAGACATGCATATTCAAGCAAGCAGGTTGCTTTAAAATATTCTGCAGAGGGGTGGAGAAAGGTCGGGATAAAACATGACAGATTCTGTCAACGAGTTAACGTGGGTGGCAGCATACAGGAATTTCCAGACACACACACCTTTTCTTCCACGCTTAACACTTCTCCATGGTAACTTTCCCAACAAAGTTATGGTACTGGTGATCAACCACTAGTTCACTAGTGGGTGTGAACATATTCGTCTTTGAAGCGGAGCACATGGGCTCCAGCAGAGGCGAGGAAAGCTCTGGAGGGGCGAGGCCACCAACGCCGGTCCCAAAGCGCGCAATGTTCGTCCCCAGGCTGGATCCCACCAAACAACCCACCCCCTCGGGGTGCTCCAGTAGGGCTGAGCCTGCAAATGGTGCATGCCTGGAACCCACAAAAAACTTTCTCTCGCCAAGCACCCAGGTCTCGGCCCAGGACTGGCGACACCCTCCACCCCACCCCCCACCCCGGCACCCCCACGGACCCCAACCCGCTCTCCAGCTCTACCTTCCAAGTCCACGTCGTCTTCGGAGTCGCTGTTGGCATTCTCGTCGGCCGTCGGGCCGGGGCTGGGCTCCGCCGGCTCGTGTAACTCTGAAGGCGGGGCGGCGGACGGGACGAAGGCTTGGTCGCGGGCCTCGCGCAGCCGGGTGAAGTAGTCCAAGGCGAACTCGACGAGGTCAGGCGGCTGCTGCCGCAGCACCTCCACCGTGTAGCCCTGTAACAGCTCCATGAGCCCCGGCGGGATCTGGATGTGGCTCATGCCGGCGGGAACCGCGGGCACCGGCCGCTTCGGGCCACCGGCAGCAAACGCCTTCTCTCACGCCGGCCTCTCGCGTGGCGCCCGCGAGGTCTCCTCACGCGCGCCCCGCGCCCCTCCCCCGGCCCTGGCCTTCCCCGCGTCCAGCCGCTCTAGGACCGGGTGTGTGGGTTCCTAGGGGCCACGCAGCCAGTGCCCGCCCCGGCTCCCCCACGGCCGGCCTGGCACCGCCGCCGCTGTCACCGGGCCCCCCGCCGCCGCCGCCGCCGCAGCCGCGGGGACCGACGGGCAGGCGAGCTGGACGGGCGGGGCAGGCGCCCGGGTTGTGACGCACGCGGCCGCGGGCGTGCGCGCTCCCGCCGAGCACTGTCCCTCTGTGCGCGTGCGCCGCGGGGGCAGCGGCTGCTTCCCCACAGCCAGGGGTTGAGGGTGAGAACTGGGGGAGGAGGAAAGAAACTCGGAAATGAAGAGTGGGGAAGGAGGCAAGCTCATGACTGCCTCTTTTAGTAATCTCTCTCTCTCTTTTTTCAATGCTGAGACAGACACCTGTTTGCCTGCATTTAGCACCAGGCCAGACACAAGACCCTAAAGGAGTCCGCTCTAGGGGATGGCATTGTGACCATCAAGGTGACCCTAAGGTCACAGCAGGGGACAGACAATCTGCAGAAAAACCATCTGAGCTCCCCACACAAGGAAAGCAAAGTCCCAACATAGTTAGGTGTGGGGTCTGGCAGGTGGAATGGTGCTGGACAGTAGGCCCTTTGGTTGTCTGTAACACTTCAGATGGGAGACTACAATGTGGGCAGATGGAGCTGCAGAGAAATGCTCATTTGAGAACCACAGGCCATAAAAACTCGAAGGAGCTCATCCCACTGTGGGCAATGCTGAGCAGACTGGGACTCTGTGTCTGCTCTTCTTTTCAAAGCACTTCCATAAGGGTCCCCAAATCTAGGTGTGCACACTTCTCTTCCCACATCCCACCCTGGCCCGGCACAGCTTGATGAAGCTGTGCAGTCTACCACATGCTGTTCTTGGTCCTGGAGAGAACAACCTGCTGAAAGGGAGAGGCCTGGCCATTTCCCAACCTGTTCCCATCCTCCCACAAGGTAGGAAAGGAATTGGAAAAGGTGGGGACCTTTACAGGATGCCCATGCTACAGCCGACAAGATGACCAAAGGCCCTTTGAGCACGGGTCTCCTCTCTCCCTTTGCCAAGGCCCAACCAGGAAATCACTAGCTAGAGGCTCAAGAACCCTGAAGAGCCTGTGAGATGGTTAAGCACCACCTGCTAATTACTCCATATTAATTAAAATCCTCACTAGCACCTCCCATCCAGGCTTGGCAAACACCCAAGAGCTCAGTGCTGCTAGGAACGAAGCTGCCCGTGGCAGAGGCACCTCCTTTCTGCGGTGCAGAGGCCAGCTCAGCTCTAGGCAAAGCAAGCCTGTGATTACAACAGAATTGTCTCCTTAAAGACACCAGACCCCCTTGAAGCTAGGACCATCCACACTGTGGAGGGAGAAGCACCTGCCCACTTTTTCCCTGCTGAGTCCCTGGTGTACTCTTTGGAACAAGGTTTCCAGGCAAAGATCTGTTTTTGTAGAATGCAGGCAGGGTCAGTAAGGATCTAGAATCCTCTGCTTCCAAGCTTTCCTTCTACTCCCAGATGTCTACTCTCACTTAGGACAGGCAGTAGTGAGACTGGAGGGGAAGTATCCCTCAACTCTGCTTTCCAAGTTTTCCAGGGTCAGTCCAGAACAGTGCTACTCCAGAGACTCAGATGTGAGCCCCACAGTATACCATACTGGGGGATCTACCTCTCTCCAGGAAACCCTACCACTAACTCTTTGGGAAAAACAAATTCACAGCTTCATTCCCTAATTTGTACATCTTGTCAGATTTTCTAGGTTTTAAAGGGGGGCAAGTATGATTTTAATTCTGGCCTTAATTACAAAATAGAGAACCAGAAGGCTACTTCTGGGCTGAGGGACAGCAGGGTGGGAGTCAGGCCTTTAGCTGCTCTGAACAGTCACCACTGGTCTCTGCTGGGCTGATCTGCCTCACTTATTCTCACTCTACAGACTAGTCAGTCAGCCAACTACCAGGTAGCTTTTAAAAGGCATTCTTGGGCCAGCATTGTGGCACAGCATGTAAAGCTACTACCTGTGCCCATATGGACACTGGTTCAAATCCCAGCTGCTCTGGCTTTGATCCACCTCCTCCAGTAATAGCCTGGGAAAAGCACTGAACAAGGCCCAAGTGTTTGGGCCCCTCTATCCATATAGGAGACTCAGATAAAGCTCCTGGCTTTGGCCAGGCCTAGTTCTGGTTGTTGCAGCCAGCTAGGGAGTGAGCTGGCAGACAGGAAATTCCTCTCTCTCTCTCTCTCTTTATGACTCTTTCAAATAAATCTTTTTTAAAAAGCCATTCTAAAAAGAGTGATGGCCACAGAGTTGCTCCTTGCCTCTCTATAAACCAGCCTCCAAGTAAGGATGAGCATCAGTTTTCAGTTCCAACCTGTCTCCCCCATCCCGGCCTTGGACCCCAGAGTGGGGGGCATCTATTCCTCCTGACCCAATCCTTTAGTAGCCAGTGGAGACCCAAGGGCCTGCATGAATATCAAGAGGAGCTTGTCCAAAAGGTCCTGCAATAGGGAACAGCATCAATGCCTTCAGCCCTCTTCTACCCTTGTCCTGCATTCATCCTGCTTGCATCAATCCAGTCCACCAAACCTCCACCCCTGGAGGTTTCCATGGCAACCAAGCCCACAGGCAGCCAATAACTGGGGAAGAGCTGCCAACAGCAAGTGACAGTAGGTGAGAAGGTCAAGAGCAGAGACCTACAGGAACAAGAAAAACAAAGGAGACAGTGCCAGAACACCGAGGTGTGCTCCACTCCAACTTAGCCCTCCTCACAGTCCAGCAGCCATGAAGTGTCTTGCGCAAGCAATGACACAATGGGGCCAATTCTCAAGAGATGCTTGCAACAGGGGATGCAGAATCACAAAGGTAGACAATTATGTCGTTCAGCCAAATAGCAGTGGGCCTTGGTAAAAAGCATTATGGGTAGGATACCAATTGCTATTTTTTGATAAAGCAGCATATGCCAGGTACTATTGACAGATTTATTATTTACAAAGCAGCCTCTCCTTCCAGGAAGAAGGGATGGGTCCAAATCCCCCAGGATCATCCAAAGCCTGCTTGTGGCCTTGACTCCTGGCTTGCCTGTGTGATGCTTTCTCATGTCTTCTGCTGACTTCAGGGTTTCAGTCCCAGCAACAACACCTCTTACCTGACTTCTCGCAGTCACTCAAGTCCGCTACCCATCTCCTAAGACCTGCTGGTCAGCTGCCAGCATCCGCATGCCAGCCCTTTCCTGATCCAGTCCTCCCAGCTCACTTAGTACTCATCACCAGCTTTTATTTTGCCTTAGAAATGTTCATTGTTGGGGCCCAGCATGGTAGCCTAATGGTTAATTTCCTTGCCTTAAATACACTGTGACCCCATATGGGCACCGGTTCTAATCCCAGCAGCTCCACTTTCCATCTAGCTCCCTGCTGGGAAAGCAGCAGAAGACGACCCAAAGCCTTGGGACCTTGCATTCATTTGGGAGACCCTGCAGAAGCTCCTGGCTCCTGGCTTCCGATCAGCTCAGCTCTGGCCATTGTGGCTACTTTGGACAGTGAAGCAGCAGTTGGAGGATCTTTCTTCTTCCACTCCTTCTCTCTGTAAATCTCAGTTTCCATTAAAATGAATAAACAAATCGAAGGAAGGAAGGAAGGAAGGAAGAAGGGAAGAAAGAAAGAAAAAGAGAGGGAGTTAGCTAGGTTCATTGTTGGTGAGAATGCGAAGCAGGCCTTACCCAAGCCGTCCTTCATCCTCCATCATGCTGCTCCATGAGACCACTGCTGGGAAGGAGGTCTGATCTATTTTACCCACATGTCTGTGACCAGGGAGCAATTAATTCCTGGTCCACCTGTTTCTGTACCCCTGGCCCCTGGAACACTGCATCACACAATAGTTTCTGCAGCAGATCCCGGGTCTGCCTCTAAAATGCCTCCAGGCAAGGACAGAACCACTGGCTGGAGAGCCACAGACCTAATCCCTTATGAAAGAAGAGAAGGAAGAAAAGAAAGTGCTCAGGGTGCCTACCAGGACTCTGTGCCACTCCCAGCCTGACTGAAAGGCCAGGGCTTTGGCCCAGAAGAGGCAAGTATGCTGGAGCCTGGGTCACGGAGCCCCGGAACAGCTTTCCACGGCAGGCATCCCAAGTCTTTCTTCAGGACACCCAGACAGCAGTCCCCACTTTAGCCAAATTGCCAATGACCTCTAAAGGTGAGTTTACCCTGCCTGAACTCTGGTTTCTCCATTTGAAAGGGGAATGACAATCCCTACCAATTGAACATTGTGTTACATAGGGTTCCATAACGAATGGACCGATGAGGACATAAGCAAAGGAATAGGGAGTTACACCTCGCAAGTCTGTATGGGAGAACTGAGGGCTACAGATGGCACAGCCCCATGACAGAATGGTGTGACACTGCTGCAAAGAGATCGCTTTTGCAATAACCTGCCCCCCCTCCCTCACCCTTGGCCTAGTTACCCTTTTAGGTCCCTGAGCAAAGCTGTTATCACCAGCTGGTTGGTTTAACAATTCAGTGTCTGGCTTCTACTTGACTGTGACAAAGCAACTGCCAAGGAGGGTCCCATGTGTCCCACATTCCTCTCCCAAAAGGAAAGGAACAGGTGGTATTTCATAGTACACCATCAAGAGGAAGCAGCTGCCAAGAGGGAGCCACTCACACCTCCTGCTCTGTCCCCTTCACAAGGAAGACTCCAGGGGCTTCTCATCTGACTTCCTCAACACTCCGGGCAGCCAAGGAAATATCATCATTAGCATGAGATAACCCAAACACTCCAGCTTAAAATGGAAAATATTTCAAAGGGTGAATTATCCAGAGTAACACAGACTGTACAAGTGCCCCAGTGAGCTGCTGGAATGGCTGGCATTTGGCTGGAATGAAAACACACTTATTATGTCCGGCGCGGTGGTCTAGCAGCTAAAGTCCTCGCCCTGAACGCACCGGGATCTCATATGGGTGCCAGTTCTAACCCCGGCAGCCCACTTCCCATCCAGCTCCCTACCTGTGGCCTGGGAAAGCAGACAAGGATGGTCCAAAGCCTTGGGACTCTGCACCTGCATGGGAGACTTAGAGAGGAAGTTCCTGGTTCCTGACTTCAGATTGGCGCAGCACCGGCCTTTGCAGCCACTTGGGGAGTGAATCATCAGATAGAAGATCTTACTCTCTGTCTCTCCTCCTTTCTGTATATCTACCTTTCCAATAAAAACAAAATAAATCTTTAAAAAAAAAAGTACACTTACAAGGATTCCCAGGAAAAGGTCAAAGTTCCAGGATAGTGTCAAGGATCAGGTGATATCAATACCAGCTTCAGGGACTGGCACGATGGTTCCACTAATTAATCCTCTACCTCCAAGCACCAGCATCCCATATACATGCCAGTTAGTGTCCCAGCTGCTCCACTTTCCATTCAGCTCTCTGCATGTGGACTGGGAAAGCAGTAAAAGATGACTCAAAGCCTTGGGACCCTCCACCCATGTGGGACACTGGGAAGACTCCTGGCTTTGGATCAGCTCAGCTCCGGTGGAACCAACAGACAGAAGGTCTTTATCTCTCTTTTTCTCTATAAATCTGACTTCCCAATAAAAAGAAATAAATCTTCTTTTAAATTTTTATTGTAAAGTCGGATTATAGAGATCCCAGCACATGCAAGGTGAGGATTTTAGCTACTAGGCTACCACACCCTGAATCTTATTGTAGAATTGAAATCAAAATGGAGTAAACATGGCTCATTGCTAACTGCAATTCTTTTCGCTTTTGTAACTTCTGCTTTGCTTGCTTGGCTAACAAACTGTGTGAGCTTGCAGGCCTAATGGCCAACATGACCTTTAGTGCCAGTGACCCCCAACTCCCATAAATCAAGGCCCTAGCTTTATTAACCCATAGATAATCCAAGATCGGGGTCTACTTGTCACAGGTGGCGCCAAGGTTGGAGCCCAGACCTGAGGAGAGCAGGCAGGAGCTGGCAAGCCGAGATAAGCAAGGAATGTGAAATCCTTCCTCACTCACCTCTCAAGCTTTTGTAAATTGTGTCCCCCTCCCCCACGCGAAGCTGTGTCAAACTTTGTAATTGTACTGGTCAGGGCCACACTCCCACTCGGGCTGCACTCAGGTAAGGGGTGTTGGTCACGACTGGCCGGCGGGTTGTTCAGTCGGTTGCCCTGTCTCTCATTTATAATAAAACTTTGTTGTGACTGTCACTGGTGGATGTAACATTTTGTTTAGTGGTTGAGTCAATGCAACATTTTTTAAAAAAGGTTTCAAGGTAGACTTTTGAGAGGCAGCAAGTGACAGCTAAAGTATTTGGGATCCCTGTCACTCATATAGGAGACCCATTAGGAGTTCCTGGCTCCTCACTGGTAAGCCTGACCTCACCATGGCTGTTAACAGGCATTTGGGAGTAAGTCAGCAGATGGAAACTGTTGTGTTTTTTTTTTTTATCACTCTGGCTTTCAAATAAAAATGAATAAATAAACATTAAAACACATACATAAACTTCTACTTGACCATAATTCCTATCTGGTCATCTAGAAATATCTTCCCAGGAACCCAAGAATAAAGCAGTTTTCCTTCAATTCCTAAGTTCTCAGCCTCTTGCCAGGTTTGTCACACCCCTACCTCTCTGCTAGAGGTTGGGCCCTTCCCCTCCCCCCTTCACAGAGAGGAATGGTTCTGAAGGCAAAGTCCAAGGTTCTTGGTGCACTGCCACAAGGCAGGAGGTTCCAGAGGGACTGTAACTGTGACCCTCAAGATGGAACTGTGCCATAAAAGCTCAGCTCCTGCATTTTAATCAAGCTTTCCTTTCCACCACACAAGAACAGCCTCGCTTGTAACTCTCCAACCCCCGATCTTTCCTGGCCACACTGGAATATCATCATTTGATATATCAGTAAACCTGGACTGGAGAGAACAGATGACCCAGGTCACCACAGACCAGGGTTGCTCCAGCATGTTGAGAACAAGTGAGACTCTGCCTGTTAGCTCAGCCACCTTTGTGGCCTGGGAGACGGGGTGGGATGCAGGCTGGGCCTTGTGGCGGTCCACATGCCAAGCTTGCACTGAGGACTTTGGGACAGTTACCAGCCAAGGCCACTGCGCCAACCATCCTCCCTTGGAGTGGCAGCCACAGAGAAGTCTGAGTCAACCCAAACTGCCTCCTCCTTCCCAGCCCTGAGCCCCTGCCTAAGGCTCTGGGGAAGAATGCTGGCCTCTACCAGGAGCATACGGACTGCCTGCAGTGATGTCTCATCATCGAAAGAAAAGAGTATCACACGATGCAAAAATTAGAAACAATTTTTTATTGCTTCCTGTTAAAATAGAGCGCTCTCATGAGAAAAGTGTGTACAAAAAAAGGGTTTTCCTACACCCCGGGTTTCCTCACTTATCCCAGAAGGCTAGGACTGTTCCCACTATGTAGGAGGGAAAGCGCCCCACCCACTCCTGGGAAATTCGGCTACTCTAGCTTCTGTTTTTCTTCCATAGGCCACACTCATCTCTGTATCGCTCCATTATTGGTGTATGTGCTGATCACCAGAGCACATACAGTTTTGGTTACTTATATGTATTTTTAAAATATCTAGAGCCAACAGTTAACAGGTGAGCTACCCCCAGGCTTATATGCCCTGTCTCCCTGGACAAACAGACATGGGCCTTAAGTCCACATCCCCAGGCATGGCAGAGGATTCGATGACATCCAGGGAATCAGACAGGTATTATTGGATAAGGACTAAAAAACCCAAAAAACAAAACTGATCATCTGATTGAAAACACAGACAGTGCCCCCAGGGAGAGGCTGAGACTGAAGGGAATTTTGGGATGTAGTGGGGCCAACAGTCAGTGAGGAGGCAGCACTGTGGCCACAGGTGTTATCTGGCTTGGAGGCCACCTAGTCCATCCACGAGTTCTCTTGGGAGCCTTTAAACTGACAGGAGTGAATTCAAGTTCCAAAATAGCTCACCCCAGTTATTACAAGGTAGAAGATATCATTAAGGCACAGTCTGACCCCACCATCCCCTCCCCTCAGCAATCAGGACTGCCCACTGCTGCTGCTCCTTCTGCTTCTCCTTGGCGTTGTGGCTTCCAGCGTCCAAAAGCCTTGAGCAGCCTTTCACCTCACAAGTTGGGAGTAGCCCAATTAAGGAACTTCATGGCAACTTCAAAGCCAAGGAAACAGGCCTGAGAAGGGATTGGGAGGAAAAGAAAGGCCTATTCATAGACGCCTCTCAGCCCATGCCACAGCACCAGGCTGGGCTGGGACCCCGAGCTGACTCCACTTCAGCCAAGGTCCTGCAGACAAGCTGTGTTCTCTCCCAAGCGAAAGAGAAATCGTGTAAATCCCATAACTGCTAAGGGTGGGATTCTGAGAAATCTGAATCCCAGCAGCAAGCAAAAGTCAGCCCAACCGCACCTCCCCACCCTGAGCTCCCAAGGGGAGACACAGCAGCTGCTGGCCACTCACCGCGTTGGCGGGGAAAGCGCGGATCATCACTGCATTGAAGCCCTTGTACAGAGATGTGATTCCCTCATCCCGAATCAGCTCCCTCAGCACATCGCGGAAACCATTAGGATACTTCCCAGGAGGTGCTGTGGAGTAAAACCAAAGTTTTCAGGCTTCAGGACACTTCCTGAGTTGGTCACGGAAACCCCTATGGTGACAAACAGTTAAGTCTTCCCCTGAAGGGTCGAGGCCAGCATCAGGGAAGACACATGACACATCGGTGACGGACTCACAGACAACACAGCTCGCTTAGAGGAGACACACAAATGCCTGCCTTTTAGTGCCAAGGGAGCGGAAAGCAAGTTGCAGGATGAAATATCCCTTGCGATCAGTCAGGAGACTGAATGTGACTATTTTTGTTGTGGATGTTCAATTGATTTTTATTGTGGGATTTGAGCTCACATCTCACTTGGGATTTAGGCTGACATCAAAATGAATCTAGAGTTTCCAGAAACCAAAGGACTATAAGAGAGAATGCTGGTGAGACAAACGCTCGGAGCTGCTATGGAGCCTGTGTAACCGTAAGGTCTTAAGAACTCTATTTGGGGACCCCGTCCAAACTGGAACTGGAACTCAAAACTCCAACCACAGGGAAAATCACAGAATCTGTGGAGTGCATGTGTCAGAATGGGCCTCCTCAGTTACTGAAGGCTGTCCAGTGGACAGCATGCCCAGACATGGCGAAAAGGACACATCACTGAGGCCTGGATGGAATATCGAGCACTTTGGATGGCACAGGCCAACTCTCCTGGCCAAGCTTTCACAGCAAGTGTCTGGGTGAGTGGAGACTATGTTAGCCGATAGAACTTAGAAAGATTTCCTCAGTCTTGGAGCAAGGAAATCAATAACACCTCAGAACTATTGAAACCACCTAAGGCAGCACCCTCAGAACATGTTCCACATCAGTGACCCTGGGACGACTTTGAGTGGCTGTCCCCCACCCCAGGTACCGAAGCAGTTAGCTGCTGGGAGCAGTCCTCTACCCCTTCTTTAACCCCTTCCTCCAGATACAGGAATTAAAAAATATTTGGAAACAATTGTCTTATCCATGTTCACCCATTTCTCCACCCTTCCCACCCCTAATCAATGATCCACATGGTCATCCATCCTTTTCAACTATGTTAAGAATAAAAAGCAAAAAACAAACCAAAAAACCTCTGCAGGATGGTGGCACGATATCTCAGTGGCTAAATCGTCGCATTGCAAGCACCAGGATCCCATATGGGTGTTAATTCATGTCCTGGCTGCTCCACTTCCCTTCCAGCTCCCTCCCAGCTTGTGATCTGGGAACACAGGGGATGATGGCCCAAAGCCTTGGAACCCTGAACCTATATGGGAGGCTAGAAGAGGCTCCTGGCTTCAGATCAATTCAGTTCAAGCCATTGTGGTCAATTGGGGAGTGAACCAGCAGATGTAAAATCATTCCATTTTTTCCTTGCCTTTGTAAATCTGCCCCTCAAATAAAAATAAATGAATATTTTAAAAGGGGAGGCTGGAGTGGTAGCCTAGTGGCTAAAGTTCTCGCCTTACATGCACCAAGATCCCATATGGGCACTAGTTTGTGTCCCAAATGCTCCACTTCCCATCCAGCTCCCTGCTTATGGCCTGAGAAAGCAGTCAAGGATGGTCCAAAGCCTTGAGACCCTGCTCCCCCATGGGAGACTCAGAGCAAGCTCCTGGTTCCTTGCTTCAGATCGGCTTAGCTCTGGCCATTGTGGCCACTTGGAGAGTGAAACAGTGGATGGAAGATCTTTCTCTCTGCATCTCCTTCTCTCTGTAAATCTGCCGTTCTGATAAAAATAATAAATAAAATTTATATATTTTTAAGATTTATTTATTTTTATTAGAAAGGCAAATATAGAGAGAGGAGAAGAGACAAAGAGGAAGATCTTCTGTCCATTGTTTCATTCCCTAAGCAGCCACAATGACTGGAACTGAGCCATTCTGAAGCCAGGAACCCAGAGCCTCTAACAGGTCTCCCACACAGGTGCAGGTCCCAAGTAGGGACGTCTTCTACTGCTTTCTCAGACCACAGGCAAGGAGCTGGATGGGAAGTGGGGCTTGCAGGATTAGACTCGGCGCTCATATGGGATTCCAGACTATGCAAGGCAAGAATTTTAGCTGCTAGGCTACTGCGCTAAGCCCAAAAATAATAAATAAATTTAAAGAGAGAGAGAGAGGGAGAACTCTGTAGTGTGGGCAGTGGCGCTGAGGTGTGCAGGACTGCAATGCTGGCATCCTATAACAGCTTAGGTTTAGTCCTGGCTGCTCTACTTCCTACCCAGCTCCATGCTAATGTACCTGGGAGGCATCAAAGCTTGTTCAAGTCCTTGGGCCCATGCACCAATGTGGGAGACCTGGATGAAGCACCTGGCTTCAGCCAGGACCAGCTCTCACTGCTACAGCCATTTGTGGAGTAAACCAGAAGCATATGGAAGATATAGCCTTCTCTCTCTCTCTCTCTCTCTTTTATAACTCTGAATTTCAAATAAATGAATCTTAGAAAAAAAGAAGACAGTGCCTCACTTTGAAAAATAAAAAAAGAACTCTGTACTCCCTCGGATCCCATCCATTCCACTCTCTACCACTTACCTGTCTGGAAGCGAGACTTGAGCACATCAGGGGGAATTGCTACAGCCCAGTTGAAGATCCCTGCAATGCCACCAGCCACCAGGATCCGGGGCGCACTGAGCTCACTGACACTACGGAAGAGCAAGCACAGCCCCAGTCAGACAATGTCTGAGAGTGTACTGTTCAGACGACCCCTTCTGTGGCAGGCAGGGCACTGACCCAAGCAAACACGGACCGAGGGGAGCGGTGCAAGGCCAGGGTTCCCGGGAAAGGCAGCTGCTACGGGGAAGAGCAGGTTGCATGCACCTGTTTGAAGCACTCACTCCTCCGAGTGAGATACAGAGTGAGAGGTGTTCTCTGGGCCTTGGCAGTCACAAGAGGAAGTGCATACTTCTGTCCTCCTTCAGCTTTCAGACCCACCCAAAAATAAGGCAAACAACCCATGACTGGGGAAAGCAGTTTTGAAGCTTCTCTGTTTTCCTCACCTCTTTCCCTCTGGAGTGAAGATATTTTTCAGCCATTCATAGGTCATGAAATACATTCCACTGGCTGGAACATCTGTCAGTGGCAAGGAGAAGGTAAATCAGAGTATATAAACTCCAAACAGACTTCTTCAACTTGGAAGAGCCAAGGCCTGCACCCATGACAGTTTCCTGAGAAGTTTCTCAGAGGCCATATCTTCTTTGCAATTGTCATTTTGTAGGTATCATGCTCTAGGTTAAGCCCTGGCATGAGCGAATGCAAGTAAAGACCCAGGGCAGCAGTTCATGTTTTGAGCTCCCTTAGAGGAGACACCACTGACACCCATGCCCATGTACTGGCTCTATGCCCAACTGCTGTCATAAGACAGGCCTGAGGCTGTCTCCACCTCTCTCACTTCCACCCCACTGGACATGCCCCTCAAAACCAGGGTGTGCCCTACTGCCCCTATGTTATTCTCTCTTCTCACTCTTCCCTCCAGCCATGATCATCCACTGACTTTCCATTCCCTGCCAACGTTCAATGTCATCACTTCTACTCCAGCAGATACTCATCCAGGTCCATGCCAGCCAGGGTTAGACTGACTAAAAACAGGACGCCCACTGCTAGCCTGGTTAGCATGGTGATTGGTATGGTGCCAATGCCAACCTAGGAATCCCTCTGTAGCTGTCCCACCTCAGGGAATCCTTCTGGGGTGATCTTGGGTGAAGAGTCTCAAAGGGGTTACCTCGCATGAGGGTCAGCACAGTCCCCTTATAGATGCCTCGGATCCCAGACTCCTGAAATAGCTTCTTGGCACAGTCCCATGGACCAGCATACTTAGTTTCCCCAGAAGAAGCCTGAATCTGAAAGAGAGCAGGCAGGCACTTATAATGACGCATCCAACATACTGCCAGGCTGTAGTCACAGGAGGCCGGGGAGGGAACCAGGATAGCCCTCCCCCATGGCCAGCAACCAGAACGTCCTGGCTGGCCTGTAGCGTCATTGGACCCTGGGCCTCCCACAGGTACCCAGCAGTAAAACGTGCCCCACCCTCAGGCGTCAACAGAAGCCAAAACAGAACTTAAGCCTCTAACTCCACCTAGCTGCATCCTAGCTCCTGCTCAAACGGGCTGGTGTACGAGAAAGTTTTCTAAAACTGAACATCTAAATGTAATCCAGCACAATCTGTAAATACCTAAATTAAAAAAAAAAAAAAAGACTCATCCTACTTACAGTCATGAAGTTCCCAAACTGAAAAGACAAGCAACAGATGACACCAAGCCAGATTCTTGGAATCTCAGAATCACCTGACAGATTTTAAATCCGCTTTGGTCCTTCACAGGACACGTATGATCATGTGCAAAGCAGATGAGAAATACAAAAGCCAAAGGCCCGGACAGCAGATAGTCTCAGGAGAGAAACAGAGGATGCACTGGGGACTAATCCTGGCAGCCCCACTTCCCATCCAGCTCCGTGCTTATTATGGCCTGGGAAAGCAGTTGAGGACAGCCCAAAGCCTTGGGACCCTGCACTCACGTGGGAGACCTGGAAGAGGCTCCTGGATCCTGGCTTTGAATCAGTTCAGCTCCAGCCACTGCAGCTACTTGGGGGGTTGAAGCAGTGGATGGAAGATCTTTTTCTCTCTGTATCTCCTTTTCTCTATATATCTGCCTTTCAATAAAAATAAATAATTTTTTTTTTAAATTTTAAGCCAACAGGGAAAGTATACATACAGTGTGATTTCACTAATAAAGCATTCTTGGAATTATAAAATTCTACAGACTAGGTATACTCTAAGAGCACTGGGCTTTTGGGCAGCGGATGGAGACATAGGGTGACCTGGGCAGGAGCAGTCTCCCTTCTCTCTGAAGGGACCCGACTCACCTTTCCAAGTTCCAGAAGTGGCTGCTAATAATGGTGGGCAGGGTGGGACAGGTGGGACACTTTAGCTCATTTGTTTTACTGTTCTGGTTCTGGATTCTACTACCACTGCTTCCCTATTCCTATACACCTTGAGACTGTTTTTGCACACCTGACCTAAAACCTTTACAAAGGATGAAAGGACATAAACATACACACAGAGTGGTACACTGAATGCGAAAAGCAGGCTGCCTCCATCTCAGATCACACCCTTACCTGCAACAAGCACTTGATCCGCTCTCCCGGGGTCATGATTCCTGTGGTGAATACGCCAGACAACATTCCAGCTGCGAATAGCTGCGGGTAACTATATGCAAAACAAACACCAGAAGCGCATCTCAAGAGCAGTGCAATTCCAGCCAAAAGGATGATTTTGTAAGAAAAAGTAAGTAGAAGGCTGGCTACTAATACCCCAACATACTCCAATCTTCCTGGGATGTCCAACCCTAGGCTGGACACACCTTCTCTGCTGGGACGGGGGAGAGTCCTGAGAAGGTGAGCTGTGTGTGTCTGTGTGCACAGAGCAGCATGTGGACACTCCCTGACCACCTCGCCTCTTCTGTCACTTCCCAGCCATCCCAGGGTGGCATTTGTGTGTAACAGACATTCCTGAGCTTCCAGCCTCAAGACCTGGATCAAGCTCCTCTCCCACATGGCAATACTGCATCCCAGAATACCACCACAGGAAGGGTCAATACAGCAGGGAGCAGGGTTCTTAGAGCCTCTTTACACAGGCAGGAAGATGGTTGCTCTGACTGCTGACGTCACGGTATGACAACACTGCCCCTATCCCATGGCTGTGGCTCTGCTACATCTGTAAGCTGGCACAGGTGGAAAGATCTGGCCCCTTGGCCAGGATATAGGCCCGCGGGTCACATGGCCTAGCAGCTGTCACATACAGCTGCCAAACCACTGCTTGTATACCCATGGCTATTTAGAGAAGCTGAGCCTACTCAGAGAGTCAGGAACACAAGCTCATGTTACAAGAACCTCCAGTAGCATCCGGGAGCCTTGCTCAGATTCCTGTGGTGACAGGATATAACCACACAGCACCCTGAATATCTCCCCCTGAGCTCCTGAGTGCCAAGCTTGGCTGCCTGCAGTTTCATCCAGGACTTGTCACCTGCGAGGCTCACGCTGAGGGCACCCTGTTAACCAAGGATTTCCACTCAGAATTCTCTTGCATCCTAAGAAGCTCCTCCACTTTTATTAATGATGCACAAATTCTGAGCTCTGTTTCTTTCTTTTTTTTCTTTTTTCAGTCAAGCTTTTAATGAAAAGATCATAAAATAGTAGTTTCTTGTCGCTGTACATTAAGACTGCCCGTTTCTGCACGGACAGAGATGGGAGGTGGAATAGGGAGTGGTCATTCGGCTAGGACACTGGATGGCTGCTGAGCTCTCTTTCTGATTCAGTTTCCTCTTCAAGCCAAATAGATTTCTTAAACTTATTAAATGCTGACTTCATTATAACAGAGAAATCAACATCAAAAACCCTTATAATCATGTTCTAAAGATGAAGGAAAGGGCCACTGTTGAGGTATAGCAGAACTAAGCCATGCCTACAGCTCTAGCATCCCTCTACAAGCACTGATTCAAGTCCCAGCTGCTCCACTTCCAGTCAAGCTCCCTGCTAATGCACCTGGAAAAGCCCTGACAGATGAGCCAAATGCTTGGGTCCCACACATGGACAGGAGACTTAGAAGGAGACTCCTGGCTTTGGCCTGCCCCAGCACTGGCTATTTTAGCCATTTGGGGAATGACCAGAGGATAGAAAATTCTTTATATGTATCACCCCACCTCTCTCTGTAACTCCTTCAAATAAACAAAAATAATTTTTTTTTTAAAATATGAAGGAAAACAAAAGATGGAACTTTCTCTTCTCTCAACCAAGTGACGGCCAACAAGGCTGCTGCTGTCAGCATTCCTGTGGCAGGTACTGCCCAACTCACAGTGTGGATACACACTGCAGCACTCAGACCTGACTCATTTCCCTGGCAACTACTGCTACCTCACAGATGAAATCACGGTCATCTAGTAAGGGTAGGAAACAGGGGCTTCTTCCTTTTTCTTTTTGGTTGTTAAGGCAAAGGAAACCCAAGTTACCTCCTTGACGTGGGCTTGCGGGGCCCAAGAGTGTAGGCAGTGCCTGACATCATCAACAGAGTCGTGCTGGGCCCTCCAGGCCTGTAGACACTCACCTGAGCACATCTTCTGGTCCCTTCTGCTGCAGCTTCTTCCCCAGACCATATCCAAAGAAGCAGATGGCAAACATCGGGGTGACCCCGATGATAGGGGCAGCCATGCCCCGATACAGTCCTGTGACGCCCTGCAAATAACCACAGGAACAGAACTGTGTATCCACAACACCAGAACATGGCAACAGGAAGCAGTGGGTCCTCTGACAGAGGCCCACTGTCCTCTCCAAACAAGAGGGGATTTAATGAGGAACAAAACCTGCACCCCTTGAAGGACCATAAGGCAACCTGGTAAAAGGCAGTAAAGCATATTTTTATGTGGAAAGTATTCATCTAAAATTTGTTCTAAATAAACAGAGATGCAAGATTGGCAGCAATTCAGAACTGTTGAACTATTAAAACAACTTGAGCAGTGCCCTCGGAGCATGCCCCACATAGGGGACCCTGGGATGGAATGCGAGGTTGGGTGGGGCTTCTCCCTTTATCTCCCCCCTTACCCCAGATACACACACACACACAAATGTGGAAACAATGGTCTTACCCACTTTCCTGTAACACTTGACCCTTTGTGCCCTAATCAATTATGCAAAATGAAAAAAAAAAAAAAGAAACAGAGATGTAAAAAGAAAGAAACTAGGGCCCAGTGCAGTGGCCTAGTGGCTAAAGACTTTGCCTTGCATACACTGGGATTCCATGTTGGCAATGGTTTGTGTCCCAGCTTCTCTATGTCCCATCCAGCTCCCTACTTGTGGCTGGGAAGGCAGTGGAGTGACCCAAAGCCTTGGGACCCTGCACTTGCGTGGGAGACCTGGAAGATGTTCCTGGCTCCTAGCTTAATACTGTCTTGGCTCTGGCCATTGTGGCCACTTGGGAAGTAAACCAGCAAATGAAAGATGTTTCTCTCTGTCTCTCTTTCTCTCTGTAAATCTGCCTTTCCAATAAAAACAAATACATGGTTTTTTTAAGAAGAAATTTTGGGGATCCAGAATCACAGCATAGCAAATTAATATGCTGCCTGTGATGCTGGCATCCTGTATGAACACTAGTTCAAGCCCTAGTTGCACCACTTCCAAGCCAGCTTCCTACTAATGACCAAGGAAATGTAGCAAAGCATGGCCCAAGTCATTGGGCCCCTGTACCCATGTGGGAGACCTGGAAGAAGCTCGAAGCACCTGACTTCTGTCTGGCCCAAGCTTCCTATTTGTAGTAGCATGAACCAGCGGACAGAAGCTCTTTCTCTCCCTCCACCTCCCTCTTTTCTCTATGTAATGCTTTCAAATAATAATCTTCTCTGAAAATTTTGTACTTTGAGGATCAACATGGTGGCATGGCCTGTAGTACCAGCACCCCATATGGGTAGCAATTCAAGTTCTGGCTGCTCTCCTTCCTTTCCAGCTCCTTTCCTATGGCGTGGGAAAGCAGTAGAGGATGGCCCAAAGCCTTGGGCCTCTGCATTCATACGGAGTCCTGAAAGAATCTCCTGGCTTCTTTAGACCAGTTCAACCCTGGACATTATGGCCACTTGGGGGGTGAACCAGAGGATGAAAGATCTTTCTGTCTCTTCTCTCTTTAAATCTGATCTGTCTTACCAAAAAAATAAATACATCTTTTAAAAAAATAAAAAGTATTTTCTGGCTATTAAGATGTTATTTTTATTAGATCTACACATAAACCTTAACTAGTACAGTTTAGCAATGAAAATGGCTATGCAGGAGCCAATTAAAAAAATTAGAAAAAGAGGTGTTAATCAAGGTAGCAAACCAAGGAAAAGAAAAGATTAAGGACCTGACGGAACAGAGGTTGAGACCAGGAGAAATAAAACACACGTCCAGGATGGCACTGGGTATCGCAAGAGGAAGAAGACAGAAGATCCTAGGAGAGGTGTTCCCAACAAAAGCAAAGCAAGAGAACACACACTGAGACAATGAAAGTTAACTGCTGGGGAAGTGTGGGACACACGTCCAGCACAACCACACGGCAGGATAAGTAACACATTAACCTTACAAATCTGTCCCTCTGGGGAAGAGCAGTATGTGGTAGCAGATACCATACCTCTCGAACAAGAGTCTTCCGGAAACAGTCGATGGTTCCAGTGTACATAGCAGGCTGTCCAGGCAAAGCTGGCGGCTGTGTCTGTAGTCGGACCTGAAACCAAAAGTTGAAATTCAGTCACCGAGACCAGTGTTGCAATGCAGAGGGTAAAGCGATTACTTGCAATATCTGCATCTCAAAATAAAAGTGCTGGTTCAAGACCCAGCCACTTCACTTCCAATCTAGCTTCCCACTAATATGCTTGAGCAGGCAGCAGAGGATGGATGGCCTGAGTGCTGGGGCTCCTGCCTGGTCATGTGGGAGACCAGGATGGAGTGCCAGGCTCCTGGCTTCAGTCTGACTGCTGTGGACATTTGGGGGGTGAGCCAATAGATGGATGACTTATTCTCTCCCTCTCTCTAACAATACATAAATTCTATATACAAAGTCACCTATCAGAATCAGAACTGCCTGTTCTAACTTGGTAGAGTCAAGTTGTCTACCAAACAGAACCTGCACTTCCTCCATATGCCTTCAGGATTGACAAAACCTGCTGCATTCAGCCTTCTCTGTCACTGACACTCCACTCCTGCTCCTTAGGAAACATCCCCTTGTATGATAGTACCAGCTTGTGTATTTATCTTCATCAGTCAACAGCCATTTGTGACTTTGCCATTTTATTACAAACACTGATAGAAACAATCCTATAGAAGTTTGTGTGTGAATGTATGTTTTTAATTGTATCAGTACTGTTTTAGGGTTTTTGAGACAAACAGCATCAGTGGTGAGTGTGGATGTTTTACCAGGCATCAGCTCATGCAATTCCGGAAGCTAAGAAACCTAAAGATGCACAGTCAGCAAGATGGAAATCCATGAAGAGTCCATGATTCAGGTCAAGCCTGAAGGCAAGAAGACTCCTGAGACAGCCCAGCGGTCAGTGAGGTTGGGAGGTGTAGCTCTTCATCCTAGTCAGGCCTTAACTGATGGGAGAAAGGCCACCTGCCACAAGGAAGAAAGGCTGCTTTCCTCAATCCGCCAACTCAAACATTATCATCCGAAAACACCCTCAAGGATACATCCAGAAAAATGCAAAACCAAAAATGTGGGCCCTGTGGCCCAATCAAATAAAATTAAGCATCAATTAATTTGATTATTAATGCACTGATTTTCTGGGTCATAGGTTAACACTCCAACCTCCTGAGAAATTGCCAGATTATTTTCAGAGTGGTTTCACCATTTTACAGTCTGACCAGAAGTGCACAAAGGTTCTAATACCCCTATATCCTCATTAACCCTTGCCATTATCTTTTTATTCTACCCATCATGAGCGTGTAATGAGATCTCATCATGATTTTCAACGGTGGGTAAAAATGTCAAAAGTTTGTTCATGGGTTTATTTTCCATTTCTACAGCTTCTTTGGAGAAATGTCTATTCAGATTCTTTCCCCAATTTTCATTACTTAAAATCTTGACAAAAATCTCATGAGATTTGAACTAGTCTACTCACCCAAGCTGTTTCCTAAAACCAATCCAGCTTTGTGCTAATGCCTACCCTGGGAGCCAGCAGATGGTGACCCAAGTTGTCTTTGCCTCCTCCATGGGAGACCAGGATTGGGTTCATGCTATCGGCTTAGGCCTGGCCCAGCCCTGGCTGTCACATGCACCTGGGAACTGAACAAGTGAATGGACATTGTGTATGACTCTTTATTTTAAATAAATAAAAATAAACAGAGGGCCTGGCACAGCAGCCTCGCAGTTAAAGTTCTCAGCTTGCACACAGCAGGATCCCATATGGGTGCCAGTTCCAATTCTGGCAGCCCCGCTTCCCATCCAGCTCCCTGCTTGTGGCCTCAGAAAGCAGCTGAGGACGGCCCAAAGACTTGGGACCCTGCATCAGCATGGGAAACCTGGAGGAAATTCCTGTCTCCTAGCTCCTGATCGGTGCAGCTCCGGCCGTTGCAGCCACTTGGGGAGCGAATCAACAGATGGAAGATACTTCTCTCTGTCTCTCCTTCTCTTTGTATATCTAACTTTCCAACAGAAATAAATAACTTTTTTAAAAATAAATTTAAAAAATTTTTAAATAAACAGAATATTCTTATATGTTAAGGCCTTACACATCACATCAATGAAGCATGACCTAAGTCAGGGATGGAGAACATCTGGTCCACAAGCTGTGTACAGCCCATCCAAAATCATCTCATCCAGCCCTGCCAAGGCAACCACATGCAGGTTCCAAAATTCAATAAATCTTTGGCTGGGTAATTTTTAAGTTCATAATTTTATAAAAATATGTATTTGTTTTTATTTGAAAGGCAGAGTTACAGGGAGAGAAGGACAGACAGAGAGATCTTCCATCTGCTAGTTTATTCTACAACACAGCTGGAACTGGGACAGTCCAAAGCCAGGAGCTTCCTCCAGGTCTCCATGTGGATACAGGAATGCAAGCACTAGGGTCATCCTCCACTGTTAGCAGGGAGCTGGAATGGAAGTAGAGCAGCTGAGACTCGAACCAGCACCCACATGGGCTGTCAGTGGACTTCTCCACTTTCCTGTGCCATGGCACCAGCTCCCAAGTTGATCATTGTGTGAATAATGTTATAAGTATCCAAATGGTCTTCAGCAGAAAAAAAAACTTCCATCTTTTTATTCCCATCTAGGCAATGGAAGTGAATGCAAGTCTATGGGGGTTGATGGGAGATATGACATCAGAATCAGTCAGAGAATTCTGTTCATTTTTACAACAAAAACTCATTCCACTGACCCTCCATGGTCAGGCAGCAGCCTTCCTAGGTACTAGAGAGAAATGAATCAAAACTTCTCACAACCTTTTGTGATTTCATATAAAAGTCATACCTGATTTACCTGACATAAATTAATTATCCAAACCAGTGACAACATACTATCCTCCACGGTTGCTCTTATTCTGTGGTCTAGTGCCCACTTAGAAGCCCATACGCTCCCTTAATCCCTGCCCTGCAATCAAAAAGCACATGTTGCCAACTTAATCCCAGGAGGCAGGGCTTAAGGGGATGTGTTGCCATCAGAGTGGGTGGATGCCAATCACGCACATTTGACTTCTTGTCCTCACACGTTCTCTTGCCCTTCCATGGGGTGACAGAATGGGGTGGTGCCATGGGGTAACAGCAACCATGCCTGTGGCAAATGTAGGTCCCTGAGGGTTGGACTTCCCACTTGCAAGAGGCATAAGAAAGCAATTTCTGTTCTTTAGCAATGAACCAGTCCTAAGCAGTCTGTTCCTGCAGCACAAAGTAGACTTCTCCACTTTCCTGTGCCAGGCTGTCGGGGCTCCCTCAACCTTTATTGTCTGAGCTCAGCCAGCCCTTCAGTGTCTGCCCTACAACCCACTGTCTTCTGCAGTTCTTCTGCTCATGAGAGGCTGAAATGTCACAGGTCTCAGCCTGTCATTCCACAGGGCCACAGGGTTCTGACCCATTCAGTTTCTGCAAGCACCTCCAGGGCAGGCTTTGCCTGGAGCCCACTAGCTCTTTGAAGCCAAGAACAACAGGCAGAGGTAGGTGGTTTTGGAGTTGACTTGAAATCTCTGGCTACTAAATATGCCAGGGAGCATTTTCAGTCGTTTGCAAATCAGTCCAGAGGTTGCTGGGTTCCTCTTGGGAGTGACCTCAAGGACACAAGTATACAGAGTTAGGAGTGACAAGTAGACAAACTGGGAGATTGGAACTGCATTGTTCTTCACTAGGAAGTCCCAGATGCCTATAGCTAACAAGCCCTCTGCCCACTGGGGTCAACACTAACAGAAGATGGACAACTGTCCCTTACTAGATGGTGCTACTGGAATAACCAGTAAGAAGCACTATAACACACCCAGCAATTCCCACTGGTAGAGTAAACATCTGACTGCATGAGGCATTAAGGCCTAACCAGCCCTGCAACTTTAATCCTGATCTTGGAGGATGAGCTCAGGGCACCTTCTCTCTTGGCATGCAAGGCAGCCAAGAGATTGCTACATTGGGCCAAAAAGAAGACCCCATGACACAACATCCCAACAAGCCCTTATGCTAGCTTCCACTGGCAAGTGACAGATCCACCCCGACCCTTGCCCGCTCAACCTTCTACAGAGATTAGCAAAGCAGGCTGCAGCGGCACTCACTAAGCCTCAGCGGCGCAGGAGCCGGACTTTGGTCTGCACAAGGGCCTGGCTGGAATGTTGTGATGGAGCAGGACCAAGCAGGTGCCCTCCTCCCTCCCACAGCCTCGGTGGAAGCACAACTGGTCCCCCACAGAGACCCGGGACCATCCACCTGGCCTTTGCTGTCCCAATAAGGGCCTTGGTCACCCAAGGACATCAGCATCAGTCGCCTCTGCCCAGAAAGCTACCCAGGCTACAGGAAGGGGAATGACACTTCCAAATCCCCTTAGGGAGCCAAAACGCTGGGAGGGATAGGGCCCAAGGAGACCTGTCCCTAATCCCCGAACAGGTCTTTAAGTTGGCTTCTCCGGAAGGGCTTTATAGGGGATCTGCTTCAACTTGGAGGATAATGTTAGGGTTGCTGGAGCTTCCCGGGGCCGCCTCTTCTTCCCCATTTCCACACAACTGGGTGCGGAGGCAGACTGCAGGGACCCGAGCCCCTGACAGGCTGCGTGTTCACTGGGGCGCCTCTCGGGGCCGCTTCCCGCCGCCCGGGATCCCCCTGAAGAGACGCTCGGGGCTTTTCCCACGGACGCCCGCCCAGGCCGCTCGCCCCCTGGACCCGCGCGTCCCAGCTCTCCCGCACCTTGACCGTGTCCAAAGGGTGCCCTACGAACACGAGGCACATGCCGCCAAAGCCTCCGGCCAGCAGGTTCTTGAGCGGGCTGATGGGCTTGGGCTGCTCGGCCATGGTCAGCGCGTCCCTCGGAGCCTGTGGGCTCGCTCCCAGCCGTCCCGCTTCGCCGCCCCGCCGCAGCGCCCGCGCCGCCGACCTTTCACCCACTTCGCGGGGCGGGGGCAGGGGCGGGGCCCAATCCTGAGCAGATCTGGAGGACGGCCCGGGAAGTCCTGCCCGGCTTCCGCCAGCAGTGCTTCCGGCTTCGGCCCCGCCCACAGGTGGGCGTGATCAGCGCCGATGCGCCGTGTAGGCGGGGTTTGGGAGTGACCGTGGGATGGGTTTCCTCCTCCAGGAAATCTTCCTAGACTTGCGGGTTTTTTCCTTGTAGGGTTCCGGTTCAGCCATTTGTTCCACAGAGGTGGACTGTTCCCCGTGATGTTCCAGGCGTGCTTTTAGAGGCTGGAGCGTCAGCTGGAAGCACATCACACAACTGCTTACTGACAATAGCAGAGACAAGTAAATGGAAAGTGCATCTTGTGCCAAAGGGTAAAAACTGCTTGAAGAAAAACACACCCAGGGAAGTTGATGTGAGGAGTCAAGGAGGCAATTTTAAATCAGGGAATGTTTAAGAAAATGACAGTGAGTCTTGCTCCTGGATATGGGGTACAGGGTGAGGAATCTTCCAGCAAAAGAAGAGAAAACGCCCAAGTTCTAATGTGGTTTGTTCCTGTTTGAGGAGCCACAGGGAGAGGAATAGCAGTGACTGATGAAGACAGAAAGGCAAGTAGGAAGGCCTTGGAGTGTCCCACTGAGGACTTGGTCTTCTAAGACGTAATGAGTAGCTATGGGAGAATTTCTTTAAACACCCTGGAGATAGGATCTGATTGGCTTTAGAAAATCTAGTTTGAGCAGATCCATTTTTTCCCCAAGATTTATATATTTTTATTGCAAAGGCAGATATATACAAAGTGGAGGAGAGACGGAGAGAAGATCTTCCATCCGATGATTCACTCCCCAAGTGACCACAATGGCTGGAGCTGAGCCAAACTGAAGCCAGGAGGTAGGCGCTTCATCCGGGTCTCCCACACGGGTGCAGGGTCCCAAGCTTTGGGCCGTCCTCAACTGCTTTCCCGGGCCACAAACAGGGAGCTGGATGTGAAGCAGGGCTGCCAGGAACAGAACTGGCACCCAGCATGTTCAAAGCTGCTAGGCGACTGCCAGGGCCCAGATCCAATATTTTTTTAAAGATTTATTTTTATTATTATTTTTTTATCAGAAAGGCGGATATACAGAGAGGAGAGACAGAGAGGAAGATCTTCCGTCCGATGATTCACTCCCCAAGTGAGCCGCAACGGCCGATGCTATGCCGATCCGAAGCCAGGAGCCTCTTCCGGGTCTCCCACGTGGGTGCAGGGTCCCAAAGCTTTGGGTCGTCCTCGACTGCTTTCCTGGGCCACAGGCAGGGAGCTGGAAGGAAAGCGGGGCTGCCGGGATTAGAACCTGCGTCCATATGGGATCCCGGGCATGCAAGGCGAGGTCCTTAACCACTGTGCCACCGTGCCGGACCCCCAGATCCAATCTTAACGGGAGAATCTACATTGGGTAGGTAGGTAAGAGTGAATTACAGAGGCTAGCATTGTGGCATGGTGCATAGAACCACTACCTGCAACTCTGATGTCCCATATGAGCACTGGTTCCGGTCCTGTCTACTCCACTTTCAAACCAGCTTTGTCTCAATGGCCTGGGAAAGCAACAGAAGATGGTTTAAGTACCTGGGTCCCTGCTACCCATATGGGTAGACCCAGAAGAAGCTTCTGGTCCTGGTTCCTAGCTTCTGCCTGGCCCCGTTCCAGCTGCTGCAGCCAACAGTGACGCAGTGGATAGAAGGTCTGTCACTCTCTCTTCCTTTCCCTATAACTTATTAAATCTAATAGTAAATAAATAAATAAATGACTCTTTTTAAAAAGGAGGAAGATGAAGGTGAGGGTTAGGGGCAGAAGGTAGGAAGGCTTCCTCGGAATGGTGTGCGGCCCGTGGGAACCTGGGAGGAGGCGGAGGGAATGGGAGTGTGTGTGTGCGGAGAGGGTATCCCCTAAGCAGAGGCACTGGTGAAGTTGTGCAGAAGACAAAGAGAAGAGAGACTGGCACCTTAGGATTCAAGGGACACAGGGCTGAGTGAAGCAAAGAGATTTTCAACTTTCCTTGGGATTGACTAGGTTTGGGAAAAACAAAAACAAAAACAAAACAGTTCCATCAGCATGGACGGCGAGATGTTGAGCACTTGCCAGGTGGAAGCAGCCAGGGGCAGGTAGTGTTTCAAGTTGTCCCACAGGGAAGAGGAAAGAACAGAAGTCAAGAGTGACTGAGGTTGTGTGACATGCCCAGCAACTGATAGGTTGCAGGATAAAGCCAAGACAGATACCTCTGATAAGATCAGGTCCCCCTTGAGGGGCTGTAGAGAGCGGGGAGGGGAGGCTACTGTGTTTGGCATCCCCTGGGTTGGCTTGACTGAATTTCTGGAACTGAGTTATGGCACAAGACCACCGCCCCCCCCCCCAAGCTCTGGGGACCTACTCCCAGGGAAGTTGGAGAAGCATCCACAGTTAGGAACCTTAAAGAGAATACATTGAGGGTGGCAAAGAGGCACTTGCAAGTGGTTTGCTAAAGTAACACAAGGCTGGGCATCCAGGAGCGTTGGAAAGACCAGCACTGTTGAAGAGAAAGAACAAGCTCTTAGTGTAACAAAATGCAGCAACCACCTAGTCTCTGTTCTCTGAGCTAGCAGAAGAGAGGGGCTGCAAGGCTTCACGATGAGAAGAGAACAGAGAGGGAAGATCACACTGGCCACATGTATGACAATGCTGTACTGGACCCTGTGAGAGGGTACAATGCTAAGTCATTAAAATGATTTTTCACTTTTTTATAAAAGATTTATTTATTTTCATTGAAAAGTCAAATATACAGAGAGGAGAGGCAGAGAAATGATCTTCCATCTGCTGATTCACTCCCCAAGTGGCTGCAACAGCCAGAGCTGAGTCGATCTGAAGGCAGGAGCCAGGAGTTTCTTCCTGGTGTCTCACACAGTTGCAGGGTCCAAGGCTTTGGATAGTCTTCGACTGCTTTCCCAGGCCACAAACAGGGAACTGGATGGGAAGTTGGGGACCGGGATACAAACCAGTGCCCATATGGAATCCCAGCATGTTAAGGTGAGGACTTAAGCCACTAGGCTACCATGCCAGGCCCCTCTCCCCCCCCCCCACACACACTTTTTTAACACATAGGGCATGAGGTGTGGCACAGTAGGTCAAACCCATATCCCATAATGGAGTGCCTGGTTCAGTCTCAGCTTCTTTGAGCTTCTGATCCAGCTTTCTGCTAACAAACTTGGCAGCTGTGGGTGCTGCAGTCAGCAGACTACCTTTGGTTTGCAAACATCTGGGCTCCTTGCTGGACACAGAGGAGCATGACCTCAGACTCTTACTCAACATAAAGGGCTGGCCTTGTGTTGGTAGAGAGCTAAGCCTCCATTCTGCAATGCTGGCGGCAGCTGCTGCTGCTTCTTCTTTTTTATAACAATAGTGGCATCGGGCCCGGCGCGGTGGCACAGTGGTTAAGGTCCTCACCTTGCACGCCCGGGATCCCATATGGGCGCCGGTTCGATCCCGGCAGCCCTACTTCCCTTCCAGCTCCCTGCCTGTGGCCCGGGAAAGCAGTTGAGGACGGCCCAAAGCTTTGGGACCCTGCACCTGCATGGGAGACCTGGAAGAGGTTCCTGGCTTCTGGCTCCAGATCAGCACAGCACCGGCCATTGCAGTCATTTGGGGAGTGAATCATTGGATGGAAGATCTTTCTCTCTGTCTCTCCTCCTCTCTGTATATCAGACTTTGTAATAAAAATAAATAAATCTTTAAAAAAATAAATAAATCATAAAAAGAGAGAAAAACAGAAGGCTTGGTACAGTAGCCTAGTGGCTGAAGTCCTCGCCTTGTATGCACCAGGATCCTATATGGGCGCTGGTTTTTGTCCTGGCAGCCCCAGGACAAAATGTCCCATCCAGTTCCCTGCCTATAGCTTGGGAAAGCAGCAGAGGATGGTCCAAAGAGTTAGGACCCTGCAACCATTTGGGAGACCGGAAGAAGCTCCTGGCTCCTGGCTTCAGATCAACTCAGCTTTGGTCATTGCGCTTGCTTAGGCAGTGGACAGAAGATCTTCCTCTCTGTATCTCCTTCTGTCTGTATATTTGCCTTTCCAATTAAAAAAAAAAATCTAAAAAAAATAAAAGAGAGAGAGAGAGAGAGAGAGAGAGAGAGAGAGAAAGGGAGAGACCTTTCATCCTCTGGTTCACTTCTCAGACGGTTGTAATGACCAGGAGTGGTGTAGGCTAAAGCTGGAAGAGAGGAGTTGTTTCTGGTTTCCCACACGAGTCACAATGGCCCAAACTCTTGGGCCAACTGTCGTTGTTGCTTTCCCAGGCCATTAGCAGTAGAGTTGAAGTGGATTAGTAGATTATCACTGGTTTAGAAGCAGATCAGCTGGGACACCTGCCTGTACCCACAGGGATGATTGAGTTGCAGGTGGTGGCGTAATATGCTATGCCACAACTCTGGCTCCCATCATTTTGCATTTTTTAAAGATTTATTTTTATTGCAAAGTCAGATGTACAGAAAGGAGGAGAGGTAGGGAGAAGATCTTCCATCCGATGATTCACTCCCCAAGTGACCACAACGGCTGGTGTTGTGCTAATCTGGAGCCAGGAGCCAGGAAATTAATCTGGGTCTCCCAGGCGGGTGCAGGGTCTCAAGGCCTGGGGCCTTCCTTGACTGCTTTCCTAGGCCACAAACGGAGCTGGATGGGAAGTGGGGCTGCTGGGTGTGGAACCAGTGCCCATATGGGATCACAGGGTATTCAAGGCAAGGACTTTATCTGCTAGGCTACTGTACCTGGCCCAGCCCCAATAATTTTGCATTTTAATTTTTTTTTTAACAATTTCATGTATTGCATATGAGTTGTACAATTTAAAACCAAAAAGGATAAAAAGGAATATAATGAAAAACACAATTTGTACCATGTGGCAGTTTGTATTTTCCAACTATGACTACACGACATAGAACTCTTTCTACATGCTTTTCTTACAATGTGCTGTGCTTATGCCACCTTTGAGAATAGGCCTGCATTCCCATGTGAACCTAAGAGAGCTTGTGTAACTGCCTTGACCAATGACATGGGGTAGAACGCTGTGTGACTTTAAGGTCATAAAGGACAATGCAGACTCCCCTTGGTTCTAAAACACTTGCCTTTGGAACCTGGCAACTATCATGCGAGGGAAGACAGGCCACAGGCATAGTTCATGTGCCCTGTCTGGGTGATAACCCCAAAAAGGTCACAAGCCTGACCTGCCATCAACCACCCACTGTACCAGTAAACAAAAGGTGTGTGATTCCAGTCCCTGTCATTGGGTTTCCCAGCAGACTTCCAGCTGATTTAAACCATTCCCTTTGTGCCCAGTCTTGGATTGCTGTCCCAAAGAAATAGCAGTCTATATATTCACTATCTCATATGTATTTATGTTTAAATAATAGATTTATTTTTATTACAAAGTTAGATATACAGAGAGAAGGAGAGACAGAGAGGAAGATCTTCCGTCTGATGATTCACTCCCCAAGTGACCGCGACAGCCAGTGCTGTGCCAATCCGAAGCCAGCAGCCAGGAGCCTCTTCTGCGTCTCCCACATGGGTGCAGGGTCCCAAAGCTTTGGGCCATCCTTGTCTGCTTTCCCAGGGAGCTGGATGGGAAGCAGGGCTGCCGGGATTAGAACCGGTGACCATATGGGATCCTGGCGCGTTCAAGGTGAGGACTTTAACCACTATGCTATCGCACCGGGCCCACACATGCTTTTTAATATCCTCCCCAACCCACCTCTTTTCATTTCCTTTGAGAGACAGAGAAAGATTTTCCATCTGCCTTGTTCATTCCCCAAATGCCTTCGGCAGCTGGGGCTAGGTCAGATAAAGTCCACAAGCCCAGAACTTAACTGAATCTCCCACATGGGTGGCTGGGACCCAAGAACATGAGCCATCCCCTGCTGCTACTCCAGTTCTGCATCAGAGTTGGTGGCAGCAACTTAGCGACTAGGTCACACACCCACCCCTCATATTCCGTTCTCACCACCACCATGTCAGGGTATATTTCAACAGCAGGCATTTGGCACAATGACTAAGACCTTGATTAGGATTTTGCATCCCATGTTGGACTTCCTGGGAGGCAGTTGGTGATAGCTCAACTGTTTGGATGAAAGGAATAGGGAAGGCAAACAGACTTAACTTCCGTCTGCTGGTTTGCTCCCTAAACATGTGACAGCCAGGGCTACTGGCCAGGCCTAAATTAGGAGCTTGGAATTTCATCTGGCTCTTCCACACGGATGTGCAGGGTCCCAAGGCCTTACAAAGGCCATCCTCCACTGTTTTCCTAGGCCACAAGCAAGGAAGTGGATAGGAAGCAGAGCAGCCAGGACACACTATGGTGCCCATATGGGGTCTTGGTGCTTGAAGAGGGAGGAGTTAGCCAGTTGAATCATCGAGCCAGACCCCCATCTGATGACTTTTTGCCCAATGGCCACAACAGCCAGGGCTGGGCCAGGTTGATACCAGGAGCCAGGAGTTCCTCTGGGTCTCCCACACGAAAGCATTTGGGTCACCTGCTGTTGTTTTCCCAGGCCACTGAGCTGGAATGGAAATGGAGCAGCCTGGACCTCAACCAGTAACCCATACGGTGCTGCAGGTTTGTAGCTTTACCAGTATGGTACTTTTTGGGGCCCACATTTTTTTCCCCCAGTGAAGCTGGTGATGGCGTTTAACGAGGGTAGAACAGACTTGACACTTGACATAGTAACCTATAGAACCTCATTTGTACATCTGAGGGCCTTGTTCCTTAACTCAACCAGTTAAAGTCTTACAACGACCCAGGGGCCTATCGCAGCATGCCGTGGGCCAATGTGAGGCGCTGCAGCGATGGCTGGACACAGCCCAGCGGAGCAAAGCTCGCAGTCCCATTTGTATTTATAACTTGGTGCCTCACAATACCTGGAGCTTCTGTGACCTGTCATTCTTGTCATTTCACTGTTATCACTGCTGGAACCCAAGAATTAAGCACTTTGTACCCTACCCTATGGCAATTACTGCAGTGTTTCCGACAGTTACTGCTCTCTGGCCACCCCGGTTAATAGCCTTAAGGGCACACAGTTCACTTGATAGGACTGAATCTCGGTGGGGAGGGGGGTGGGGGAAACCAAACCAACAAACTCCTGTGGTCCTCAAAGCCACTGCTGGGACCAGGGGACTGGTGAACCCACTGCTTCAAACACACTTGCCCACCCCCTTAGTTTTTATTTACTAGAAAGGGGGAGACAGAGAGCAAGACATTTCATCGACGCTGCACTGCCCACCCGTTCCAGAGTTGAGAGGGCAAGTCCAGGACTTCCGAAGTGGGTGGCAGGGACCTAAGTAGTTGAACTGTCATCACATGCTGCCTCCCAGGGCGCCCGGGAGAAGGAAGCCGGAATGGGAAGCAGAGTACCGGCTGCCCAACACCGGTCCTTCATGCCACAGACGCAGGAGGACAGCAGAGAAGCGAGGAGGTGGCCAGCAACGCGTCGATTAGGGAAAAAAAAAAAGCATCTCGGCGGGAGGCGCCGATCCAACATGCCCCGACCCGATCCCATCCTCTTTGTCCGCTCTTTCTGCAGCGGCCTAGAGCCCGCCCTACCCTCTCGGACTCTGGGGTCGAAGAACAAGGTTGGTGAGGAAAGGAGAGACCCCCCAAGTCTACGGCCTGTACAGCCGCGGACGACCCGGGGACGATCGCCGGCCGACCCCGGGCCGGAAGTGACGCCACTGCGCCGAGCACTTCCGGAGCTGCGGGGACAGCTCCGCCGGAGAGAAGCAGCGCGGGCCCCACCGACCGGCGTCGGCCCGTCGCCCTCGCTGCCTTCACCGCCCCTTCCTCCGCCGCCGCGTCCTCATCGCACCGCTCCGGCCCGGCCCGACCCGGCCCGGCGCGGACTGGCCTGCTTGGGCCCCGCGGCCACGGGGGCCGCCGGTTCCCGGTAAGCGGCGGGACGCGAATCGCGGCCTTGTTTACCCCGGCGGGCCGGTGAGGTGGAGGAGGGTGGGGGAAGCCGGGACTCCGCCTTGGCCGCCGCCCGCGAGGCGGCAGGAAGCCCCGCGAGCCGCCGGGGAGCTGGGCCCCTTGGGAGTTCCGGTCGGAGGCCAGCGCCCCCTTTGACCGGCCGGCCGGTGCCACCGGGCACCCCTCGAGCGAGCCGTGCGGACCGCGCCGGTGGTTGACGCCCGTCGGCCGCTGTGGTTACCGACCCGGAGCTGCCGCCCGGCCTGTCTGGCCCGGGGCCGCTGGCCGAGGCCACGGGGCTGCGGGATGACTCGGCCCGCGTGCTGTTCTGTCCGGTGGAACTTTGTGCCGCGACAGACGTGTCCCCTTCCCCCCTCCCCCGTGGAAGCCTGCAGCCACCACCGGCCAGCCAGCGCGTGGCCGTCGGGCCAGTGTGAACGAAAAACTCAAGTGTAAAACTTCTCTTTAAGTTCGGTTTCGGTAGTCCCGTGTGGCTATTCGGCTGCTCTGTTAGGACAAATAGAGAGTTTGAAACTTGGTGAGTTCTCATTTATCTGCAAAGTAGTATTCTTTGGAGTAGCTGGTAAAGGACCGGTGAGGGTTAAATACCGTACTTAGGGTAAGCAAGATCAGCTTTAAACTGTGAGGTCGTCCATTTGTTTCCTTGCTTCTCCATGTGTGGCCAGGCCTCACAAGCCAGCCCGGAATCAATTCTTTTGAATATCTGGTTGGTTTCTTTCTTTTTTCTGTTATCCCATTATTCACTTTTTGCTGGAGATGCCAGGATATTGTTTAATGTCTGAAAGGAATTTAAAGTGTTGGCATCAGGCCTGTTATTAAGGCAATAATGTATTGGCCCCTTGGAGCATTCTTTCAAGTAACATATAAATATTTAACTTTGTAACAATTAAAAATTAGGCTTTGTTTCAATCTGGGACCTGGGATATCCAGCAGGGACGAAATGGTTCCTTCTGAGGGAGGCTGGAGTGTCTGCCGATGATTCCTGTATGGGTAATGAGAAACTGGCGGGCAACCTCTGAGCACAGCTGTAGAAGACAGGGAAGTGTGACTCTCCAGTGCCCAGACCTGGATCTGATAGAAAATGCTGGATTCCACCGTTGGGTGATTGGCTTGCCCTTTATGTACCGGAGCTTCCTCATTTCTAAGAAGGGACAACCGCCATTTTTCCCCCCTCTGGGTGTAAAGACTAAAAGAAAATGAATCTGAAATTGGTTCTCATTGTTAAATAAGAACTGTTACTGTGTTTTTTTTCTTCCTGTTTTTGTAAATGTAAGCAGTTTCACAGATTCCATTTTCTCAATAAATAGTTCTATAAAAATACAGATAATAAAAAAGTTTAAACAAATTGTTCTACCATTATTTGGTAGATAAATTTACTTAAAGATTTGTTTGAAAGGTAGAGTTGAAGAGAGAGAGAGAGAAAGACAGACACATGAGCGCTTCCATTTGCTGCTTTTTTCACCAAGTGGCCATCATGACCCACTAGGACAGGGCCACATCTGGGGCCCAGTACCAGATCCACCTTCCTGTGTTTCTCTGGGCACATGAGCAGGGAGCAGCTGGGACTCGAACCTGTGGCAGTGGCATAACCCACTGTGTCACAATGCTGACCCTACTACATAATCTGTAAACATTGTTTGTTTGGACTTTTATTTAGTTTATATTTACCTGTGTTTGAAATGTTTCCGGAAGTTAGGCCTCTGGTTGTCTAAAAAGACCGTGAAGGATAAAGCAGTCGACAAAATGTGTAATTGAGTAAGCAAATAGCACTGTCATCTAGAAAGGCTAGGTTGTCTCTGGGAAAGCCAGATGGCCCTGGAGTGTGTCAGAAGATTGCCCACTGAGCATCTGATGGGGGACATTTTGATTTGAAAACAACTTTTCAATGAGCAAAATGAATTCTGAAACAGTACCAATATTCTGTGCTAGATTACCATAGTGGAGATGACTGAAGTAAACGTCAGATTTTAAAAATATATACTTTTTTGTTTGAAACAGAGATCTTCGTCTGGAGGTTCACGCCCCAAATGGCTGCAACTGTTAGGGCGGAGACCAGCTGAAGCCTGTGGCTTCTTTCAGGTCTCCAGCCTGAGTATGAGGGTCCAAGTGATTTTCCCAGGTGTAGTAGCAGGGAGCTGACTTAAAAGTGCTGCAGCCAGGGCTTGAACTGTGTACCCGTATGGGATGCTGGTGTCACAGGCAGTAGCAGTACCTGCCTCACTGTAACAACAGCTCCATAAAGTCCAATTTTAAGTCATAATTTGTTTTGACTTTGTTAGACTCTATGTAACATTTAGGATTACAGTGGTAATACTTAGTTATTTTAAAAGAAGTATTTATTTGAAAGAATTACAAAGAAAGATCTTCCATCCTACAGCTCATTCCTCAGATAGTCACGACAGATGGAATAGGAGCTTTAGCCAGGCTTCCTAAAGGTTACAGGGGCCTAAGCACTTGGATTGTCTTCCACTGCTTTCTCTTGGTTATTAATAAGGAGCTGGAGAGGTGAGTGGAACAGCTGGGACACCTGCTGATGCTAGTGTCATAGGTGGCTGTTTCACCTCCTGTGCCACAGCGCTGGCCCTGATGGTCCTTAATTTAGAGAATCTGAAGGGTAGGCATAATTTTAGAGAAAGGAGATAGGCTATCACACTGGGTTGGGGAATTGAGCATTGGTTTCTATCACAGGTATCTCCAGATTAAGTATTGTTTACTTTGAATACTTTCTCTTTTTTAAGAAGACTGTAAAATTCTTGTTAGTGTAATTATGATTTATGGGATTCTGTAGAGACTTACAAGAAAGAATTTAATAGTCACTCTTCTGTTATCCTTTTAAATATCTTTGCTTTAAAAAATAACTTAGAAAATCAGGATACCTTGTTTTAATAGAATCTCTTTTCATTTTAGATGGAAATCATATGAGATAGAATACTTTGGTGACATTTACTTGAAAGATCTTCAAGAATTACAGGTATTTTTTAATGTAAAGATTAACTTTTTTTTCTTAAGGATAAAATACAATTTAGTTGTGCTTATACAGTTCTGTCATGCACAAAAAAATTGTTGCAACTAAATTTGCAAATTTTTGTTCTGTAATGTTTTGAGAATTTGTATATTTGTAGTTAACTTACCAACTCTTTTTAAGATTTATTTTGCTTTTTTATTGGAAAGGCAGATATACAAAGAGAAGGAGATATAGAGAAAGATCTTCTGTCCGCTGGTTCACTCCCAAAGTAGCCGCAATGGCCGGAGCTGAGCCAGTCTGAAGCCAGCAGCATGGAGCTTCCTATGGGTCTTCCACGTAGGTGTAAGGTCCCAAGGCTTCGGGCCATCCTTGACTGCTTTCCCAGTCCACAAGCAGGGAGCTGGATGGGAAGTGGAGCAGCCAGGACATGAACTAGTTCCCATATGGGTTCCCGGGGTTTACAAAGCAAGGATTTAGCCACTAGTCTATTGTACCAGGCCCTCTTTTTTCATTCACAAATAATGAGTAATATTTTTCTCTGTGACAACTTTTCTCTTTAAAAAAAAAATAATTTTATTTGAAAGTTAAAAAAGACAGGTCTTCATTTGTGGAGTTTCCTCTACATATCCTTAAAACAGCTGGGGCTGGGCTAGACTGAAACCAAGCTAAAATTTACTCTGGGTCTTTAATGTGGGTTTCAAGACCCACGTTACTTGCATTGTCGTTGCCTACTGCCTTTCAGAGTGAGCTGTAATCAGTGAGCTGGAGTGAGAAGTAGAGTCAGGACTTGAACCCAGACACAAGTGGCGTATTAACTGCTGTGCCAAATGTCTGCCCTGTGAGGATTCCCAGTAATGGATTCAATTTATTCTTGTATGTTAATCCTAAATAGATACTAGTTTTTCCCAGCTTTGATTTTGCTAGTGCAAAATATCTAGTTTGCCTTCACTGTTCTGTCAGTTTCTTTACCTCTGAATATTCTTTTTCAGAGTTCATTAGCACCCTTAAAACTGAAAACAAAACAAAACAAAACAAAACAGCAACATCCGAAAAAAAATCCTGAAAAAGCAAGTAGCTTTGCAGGGGAGAGGAAGAAGCTGGTGGCTTTTCTTGACTTGTGTTTCTGTTTTGCAGATGTCTTATCATAGTAGCTCTAAAATAGTTCTCTTCTTACACTTGTCCCTGTTTCCATACTGAATGGGTCCCATCCAGGCATGATTACTTAAATCGTTAGGTTCCCTGACCTGTGTGCAGCCTGCTCTGGGCGTGTGCTCCTGTGAAAACTCTGGCGGGAAGCACAAGCATTGGAATGTAACCATCTGAGAGGGAGCAGTCTTGCCTTTTTATGCCAGGTTCTTCCTGTGAAGTCAGTTGCTTTTTCCTTTCCAAAATGTCTGTCTGCCTGCCTGCCTTCCTTCTCTCTCTCTCTCTTTTTAAGGATTTTTTTTTTTTTTGAAAGGCAGATATACAGAGAGAAGGAGATATAGAAAGATTTTCCATTTGCTGATTTGTTCCCCAGGTGGCTGCAACGGCTGCAGCTGAGCCAATCAGGAGCCAGAAGCTTCTTCCAGGTCTCCTGTATGGGTGCAGGGCCCCGTTATTCACTGCTTTCTCAGGCCACAAGCAAGGAGCTTGTGGAAATGGAGCAGCCGGGATACAAACCAGTTGCAAGGTGAAGATTTAGCCAAGAAGGCTACTGCACAGGGTCCAAGAGTTTCTTTGCTTCTTTTTATCCTTCCTTTTTCTTTCTTTTTTTCAAAGATAGGTGCTGGGCCTAGTGGCTGAATTCCTCGCCTTGAATGTGCCACAATCTCATATGGTTGTCGATTCTAATCCCAGCAGCCCCACTTCCCATCCAGCCCCTGCTTGTGGCCTGGGAAAGCAGTGGAGGTCGGCCCAAAGCCTTGGGACCCTGCACCCGTGTGGGAGACCTGGAGGAAGTTCCTGGCTCCAAATGGGCGCAGCTCCAGCTGTTGCACTTGGGGAGTGAATCATCGGATGGAAGATCTTCCTCTCTGTCTCTCCTCCTCTTTTGTATATCTGACTTTGCAATAAAAATCTTAAAAAAAAAAAAAAAAAAGATAGGTACTAAGATTGTGGATTGTGACACTAGGTATGGTTCAAACTGTGATGAGATTATGATCCAGACTGTACTCTTGATTTTTGAATGATTTCTATTAACAATTTCTCAAGGAGAAAAAGTAACACCTTTTTTTCCCCCCTCCTTTCTTAGAAAACAAAAAACACTAATGCATTTGAGAAAGCGGTAAAATTTTGGGGGAGGGGGACAAAGCAACTGCTTTCCTGATCTGCAACTTGGCTGGATGCTAAGATGTCCGTGGACATGAATAGCCAGGGGTCTGACAGCAATGAAGAGGATTATGACCCAAATTGTGAAGAGGAGGAAGAGGAAGAGGACGAAGACCCTGGGGACATAGAGGACTATTATGTGGGAGTAGCCAGTGATGTGGAGCAGCAGGGAGCCGATGCCTTTGACCCGGAAGAGTACCAGTTCACCTGTTTGACCTATAAGGAATCTGAGGGTGCCCTCAATGAACACATGACCAGCTTAGCCTCTGTCCTAAAGGTAAGCAGCATGTCAATTCCATGTGTAATCTCCCAATTAAATCTCTGGAAGAACTGTTGTTAACTGATGTCTTCCCTAGATTGATTGAATGGCTTTGTAGCTTGAATCCGTATTTGGGTATATATCACATTATCTGTACATTCTGTTACATTTGCCTTGTTTTTTGTTATGTATGTATGTACTGTCTTGGATTCCCAAATTACTAAGAATTAGGAGTTATAAAGTAGATTTTTTTTGTTTGTTTTTTTACAAGTTATGAAGTAGATTGAAGGCAGATCAGAAGTGTACAGTATTTGAATTTTATAGCTTTGCATTTACAAGGTAAATAAAAAATGCATCAGCATCACTATTTTCTATATAACCATGTCTGGTAAATATTTAAGGTAGCCAGGTCCCCTGGTTTTCCCTGAGTAATCAGTGACTTTGAGCTAGTGAGCTTATTTGGAAGAGATTTTAGTGTTCAGTCTACGTTCACAGATGTTGTATTTTAGTGATTTGCGGAATATTAGTGTGGAAATTTAGAGAACAAAGTTGGTTATCCAGCAAAAAGTTTAACTCAAATTAGCATGCCTTTGGATGTTTTTGGGACCATTTACTGTATTCACTGTAGACATTTATTACAGTTGGCTAGGTAGCCTTAGTAGGTTTCCTTCTCTGTCATTGGATGTTACTGAAAAGGAGGAAGGTTGCTCTTCCTGTACTGTTCTGGATGATTTTCTGAAGTGGTACATGAGTTTCGTCATGGGTCAAATAAAAGATCAAAATGATGCAATGGCATGACTTAAAGTAAAATGTTTTGTTTTTTTGAGATGGAAATAACTAAGATGTGTATGTGTAGTTTCTATAACAATTTGTTTGCTGATTTAGGAATTCTCCCTCCCCTCCCAAATGGTCGATGGAGACAAATACTTTAGATATCGGGCTGCTAAGAAATTGGTTGCAAGTTAGAAGCTAAAGCTTTTTCCGTGACTTGTTTCTTAGCAGCAAGCTAAGCTTGGGACCCTCATTATTTGGGATTTCTTTTCCATTGTTAAATCTGTTTCTTTGCTTTAGCCATGGTATTAGGTTATATACAATGATGCAATTCAAAATTAGAAAAGATATTGGATATGTACTATAATAATATCAACTTCTTTAAAATGTTTTTTTCAGTTTGTGTGAGAGAATCATAAATTTACTGATACGTTCCTCAAGAGCCTGCAATAACCAGGGCATGCCAAACCAAAGCCAGGAACCCAGAACTCCATCTGGTCTCCTACATGAACGGCAAGGGCTCAACTACTTGAGCCGTTATTTGCTGCCCAGGTGGCAAATTAGCAGACAGATTGATAATAAATGAAGGAGCTGGAACACAAACCACATACTCAAATACAGAGTGTGGGTGTAGCAAGCAGGTCCTAACTGCTGTAGCCAGCATGAGTCCCTGTGGCAGTGTCACCTCACCAATCCATTAGGATGTTCCTGCCTGAGGATAATCATGTTGTCCCTGCTCTTCTGTCCTGCTAGAGATAGTTTTCTGTTGTTGTTGCTAGAGGTAGTTGAGGAGCACAATCATCCTTCCTCTTTTTCTTTTCTAAATTTTATTAAACATATGTCACATTAAGGTTGCAGATTTTCATTCTTTTCATGAAGCTGATGTATGTTCAGTTCACTGGAGTGACTGGTTCACCTACCAGGCTATGCTAACTTCCAGGCTCCTTTTAGGGATTAGCTTGTGCTTTCCCTGGAAACCTTCCTGGTGAATTCTGAAATGATGGTTGTGTCCTCCTTTGGTCAATGTGTATGTATGTCTGTACGTGTTTCTCTACATTTCTTTGGGTAGTAGAGAGCTAGAAAATACACATTCCTCCCATCCATTGATTTATCCAAAGCTGGGCAGGGAGTTCAGTCATGGTAAGAATCCAGGGTTGGCAGGTACTACTGCTATCATCCATCTTCTGCATTAGGTGGAAAGGTTAGTAAGGTTAAGCCAGGAGGTGCGCCTAGTACATAGACACCTGCTAGGCTAAGTGCCTGCTTCATATAGGTATTTTAAAGAAATCATGTACTGTAGTTTGACTGCCTTTGGGAGGGGGGTGGATTTGTTTATTTACTTTTTTTTAAGGTTTATTTATTTTTATTGCAAAGTCAGATATACAGAGAGAAGGAGAGAGAGAAGATCTTCCATCCGATGGTTCATTTCCCCAAGTGACCACAATGGGCGGTACTGCGCCAATCCGAAGCCAGGAGCCAGGAGTTCTTCCGGCTCTCCCATGCAGGTGCAGGGTCCCAAGGTTTTGGGCTTTCTTTGACTGCTTTTCCAGACCACAAGCAGGGAGCTGGATGGGAAGCAGGGCCGCCAGGATTAGAACCGACAACTGTATGGGATCCTGGCATGTTCAAGGCAAGGACTTTAGCTGCTAGGCCACCGTGCCGGGGCCTATTTATTTATTTGTTAAACATTTATATTTTTTTTTATTGGAAAGTCAGATTTATAGAGAGAAGGAAAGACATAGAAAAAAATCTTCTGACTGCTGGTTCACTCACCAACTAGTCGCAGTGGCTGGAGCTGAGCTGATCAGGAGCCAGGAACTTCTTCCAGGTCTCCCAAATAGGTGTAGGGTCCTAAGGCTTTGGGCTATCCTTGGCTGGTTTCCCAGGCCACAGGCAAGGAGCTGGGTGGTAAGTGGAGCAGCTGGGACACGAAGTGACTCATATTGGATCCTGGCAATTGAAAGAAGATTAGCCAATTGAGCCAACACGCTGGTTCCCAAGATTGATTTATTTTTATTGGAAAATCCAATAAAAAGGAGAGGCAGAGAGTAAGATCTTCATCTGCTGGTTCACCCCCCAAGTGGCTTGTGCTGGTCAGAGCAGAGCTGATCCAAATCTGGGAGAGCTTCTTCTGGGCCTTGGGCCCCTGGGCCATCCTCTGCTGCTTACCCAGACCATAAGCAGGGAGCTGGATGGAAAGTGGAGCACCAGGGACATTAACTGATTCCTATATGGGAATCTGGCCCTGGAGGTGGAGTTGTAGCCTGTTAAGCTACCACGCTAGCTCCTTCTGACTGCTTTAAATTGCTTTACCCTTTTACATTTTGTTTGTATTTGACATGGTTTCTTCAATTAGGTTGCCCGATTCTGAAAGTCAGTAGCTGCTTTGTAACTTAGCATTCTCCTCATCTTTCCTAGTGCCATTATTTTTTCCTTTAAAATTTATTTACTTATTTGAAAGGCAGAGTTACAGAGAGAAAGACAAAGATCTTCCATCTACTGATTCACTCTCCAAATGGGGCAATCCAAAGTGCTGAGCCAGTAGCTTGTTCCATGTGTTTCACGTGGGTACTGGGACCCAAGTACTTGGGCCATTCTGTACTGCTTTCCCAGGCTTATTAGCAGAGAGCTGGATTGGAAGTGTATTTGCTGGAATTGAACTGGCATTATATGGAATGTTGGTAACACAATTCACTTGCTGCACTGCAGCACTGGCTACTTTGGCACAACTTTTATCCAGAAGGATTCAGTAATTTCTTGGATACTTTTGGATTTTGTTGATTGGTGATAGTAGCTACTGATGTTGGTGTGGAAATTTTCTAGATCTTTCTGTACATCCTCTGTTACTGTGGCTGGGTATTATTCTGGCCTTCAAAGATGAGATAAGATCAGAAGGAGCAAAAAGAATTTGGAAGAGAGAAGAAATAAAAGGAGATGAAAGAAAGTTGAAACAGAAGGGAAGAGAAAATGGGACAAGAGGAAAAGAATTAATCAAGGACTCAGATAAGAGAACAGAGGAAAATGTGTATGTATTATTGATGATGTGTGTATAAAAGTTCATAAAGTGTTAAAACAGAGCAGTGCTTTAGAATGAGCTCTCTTCCTACATGAGTGACTTGGTGAGGAAGGATGTGATGTCGAGTGAGATATGTTGTATGAGCAGAAAGTATCTCCCATGATCCACATGGGTTTGAATTTATGGCAGGCCTGTCCTGCTGGGCCTTTCGTTGTGTCACATGCCAGAACAAACTGTGACCCTGAACTATTGCCCGGCCTCTTCTCCATAGGTTGTTGACACTGAAGCAGGTTGCACAGTAGAAAAGAAGCTCTCCTTAGCCGGCAGAACCTTTCAGGGGTTAACATAGGTTCTTGTAAGGTAACTGGATTCCAGGGTCAGGTTTCTGGAAGGCCAAGGACAGTACTTTGATTGTGACCAACACCAGATTACTGCTTATTGAGATTATTCCATAAAGTTAGCCTAGAGTTTCTCCCGTATGACTGCATAAGCTCAGATAAAGCAGTCATCCCAGGGGCAGTTGGTCTTCTCAGATCAGTAGTTTTGCTGGGCAGCATTGGTCTGAGAATGCTACTCTCCAGCCATGTGCCAGCAGCTTTGATACAGTGGATTATGTTAATTTCAAGATGACACTTTAAGAAACTGGCCAGTTCACGGAGCATGAAGATCGGGTCTGGAGATTCTGGCAGGGGGAGGGGTGGGGAGCAAAGGCACCAGGTGTCACTTGGACACCCCAGTCACTGAAACAGCCTCTGAGAGCTATTGTTTCTGTGGCTGCGTAGTTGTTGCATGTGAGTCTGGGATCTGAAATAGACCAGACCATTAGGAAGCACAGGTTGGTGTCCATGAGCTGAATGCGCAAGGCTTCCAAAACCCGCCCTTGGTGTTCAGGAAGGACTGCCTGAAAAGGCTTCTTGGGGGCATTGCTGTGTAGGGGCTGTGCTATCCCAGCCTGCTGGAGGTCAGAGGGCCTGGACTTATACCCAGGCCTGATGGGAATGCCCACCCTCGGGTGCTGAGTCATCCCTGTGGGATTGGGGCCTCCCTCTCCCCTGATATGTGGTGAAAGTAAACAGCATGTGCTATGGGTTTCTATCCAGGGGAAAAATAAATTAATTAAAAATATCTCTGATGAGTTGTACTTTTAGTGGTAATATATCAGTCTTTAAAGAAAATAAGATTTTCACTATATTTTACATTTTTCCTCCAAATTTATTTATTTTGATGATTT